AGTACAATCACCAGTTTGCTTGAGTTCACCACTGCAGCAAGGGCAACCTTCAATGCTCTCACCATTAGCCAGATTTCTAATCCAGACCCAGATGGCCTTAACTCATTCTTGTTTTCTTTTGCACTTATACTATCACCCACGCTTGCTAGCTCCTTTGTAGACACCTTACACTATTATGTAGCAAAAGCAAAGACTTATAACATCTACATATGGTTTAAGAGTAGCCTCTCACCCCACTTTCTGCCGTACAGTAATTGGTTAATAGATAATAATAATATTAATAGATTGGGCCCACAATGCCATTCCGATTCCTGACCTATGCTTGATTTTTGTAGCCAGTGGTCAAAGTCCCCTCATCATGGCCTCAGGGAAACAAACCCAGAGACTGAGGTACAGAAGTACAAGGCAGGAGCCAAGGTCCAGGCAGATTTGGGGCATCAGCAGCAACAAAGGAGCTTGCTGTTGACTCAGCCTCAGTCTGCAAGCTTTTTTCTTCATGTAGGAAGGCCAGTCATGAGGTAGGACTGTGAGAAACCTGATGATCCCTCTCTTCATCACCACCCCTTCCCTCAGCCATCCCTGGGACTCACAACATGATTGCTCTCAGGGGTCAACATCACCTATGGGGTGTGCCATAGTTGCAGTTTGTTGTTCCCTGCCCCCCAAAATGACAAGAACCACTGGTTTAGATGGATATCCTTTGGGAGGAAAGGTTCAGGATGTAGGATGCACAACCAGTTCCAAAGACTTTGATTTGGGGACATGTCCAAAGGCATAAGACAAATGGCAGCTCTCTTAGTCTTATAAAAGACACTAGTAGTCTTATAACATTTTAAAAAGCATTATTATGAATGTTAAATCATGCTTCCCTTGATATTCCTGCCATGAGGGACACCTTGCCATTTGGTTGTTTGACATTTAACGTGTGTCATGAGCTACTTTTAAAGCTTTATTCTCCTTTGCCCTTTTCTCAGCCTCAACTCTATGTATCTTCTCAACTTCCTCATTCCACTCAAGACTTTTAAATAGGCCCCCAAAGGGAACTACATTGTCTGAGTTAATAATAAAGTCCCTGCTTACAGCCATCATGGTTTCATATGCGGCTAGACAATAGCTGGGCAGCAGGTCCAAAGAACATGTATAAAATGATGTCAGTGAGGAAGATTCTAGGGGGGTAAATGGAACTGGTAGATTCTCTGATGCACTGGACCACATGAAAGATCATGGTGAGAGGCTGTGAGTGAAAGATAGCCTCAAATTAAGTAAATGGAAAAAAGAATGAATTATTAACTTCAGAAAAGATAAAAAGCTTTACAAGAAAGAAAATGTAACATTATCACACAACTTGGCTCAACAGGAAACAATGTTTTCATGGACATAATGTAAATTCTTAATACAAATTAAACAAAAAAAAATGTGATAACATTATATTGAGAGATTGTAGGGAAGGGAAGTGTATGGTAAGAGAGTTAGGTGTAAGTGCCAAGCCCTTATCAGACATACCAGGAAATCAATAAATGATGTCTAACATTGAGAAATCAGGAAAGAGTAGGATAAGCATATTTTGAAGAAATATAAATATAATACCAGAAGAAACAGCTAAGTGTAAAAATGGTGGCTTTTGATGAGCAAAACTGAAGGGTAGAGGAGGTGGAGAGGAATTTTGTTTTTCATTATAAGCCTTTAAATAGTATTGGACTCTTTGTTAACTAACTGCATGTAGTACTTTGATAAAAATAAATCTTAAATTTAAAAAATATACACAAAAATTTGAAAGGCTGTGAAGAGAGAGCTCATAGAAAAAGAACTACAGACAATCCTTAAGCATATGGAACGATGTTTGAATTTACTAAAAATAAGAGAAATACAGGGCACCTGGGTGGCTCAGTTGGTTAAGCATCTGACTCTTGGTTTCAGCTCAGGTTGTGATCTCAGAGTCATGATCTCAGGGTGGTGGGATCAAACCCCATGTTGTGCTCTGCGCTCAGCAGGGAGTCTGCTTGAGATTCTGTCTCTCCCTCTCCCTCTGCCTCTCCCCCTCAAATAAATAAATAAATATTTTTTTAAAAAATAAGAGAAATGCAAATTAAAACAAAACAGATACTGTTTCTCATCTGTCAGATTGGGAAAAATCCAAAAGTGGGAAGCCATCCTCTATTGGCAAGCCTGTGGGGAATACAAAACAATTGAATCCCTATCAAGGAGAATCTGGCATATCCACTTAAACTGCAGATGCATTTCTCCTTGACCCAGCAAACCCTCTTCTAGAAATGCACTCCCAGATCCTCCTGCATGCATATTAAATGACATGCATAAGGTCATTCATTGTGATATTGTTATATAGCAAAAGATAAGAATCCAAATGTCTGTCAACAGGGGACTGGTTAAATCAGTTATGGTTCAATCACTCCATGGAAAATATTTATGTTTTCAATGAATAAAGGAAAAATAACTTACATAATTTAACAGCCAGCTTCCAGGCCCTCCTAAGCATGGGGGGCTGTGTAGGAAGCCTCTCAGACAAAGCAGACTCTCTGCCCTTCCGAAGTGTGAGCATAAAAGGAACTTGGCTCCCAACCCCTTTCAAAAACCTTAGAAACAAAGCAAGACAGGCGTGAGTCAATGTCTGACTTCATATCAGTCCTAGGTCCAAATCCCACTTGGTCACTCTATTAACTGAGACACTCGGGGCTTTGGTTCCTCATCTATAAATGGGGATAAAATTCCCTCCCTCGCAGGGTGGCTGCAGGATAGTGTGTGTGACACCTGTGGCACAGCGCTCTGCTCACAGTAAGTGCTCAATGACAGACGTCATTATTAATAGCAGTACTGGAAAAAAGAATCCTGTCTCCAGGACTGTGTTCATTATAGGAGGAAAGTCATCTTGAAATACCAACATAAGAAAAAGTCACTGCTCTGAAGAAAAGAAGGAATTTCCCTCCACAACCAGGCAGTTTTGGAAGTGACTCTTCATCCCCAGGCAGATATGCACACTGTGTGGGAGCCTCCCGCATCTCATTGCCACCACTTCCTCTGGGGGCTGGTAGACACTTTCCCTAAGTATCCTGCATCAGCGCGGTGGGAAGGACCTGGGCCCAAACACCTTCAGTTTAGGATGAGAAACCCAAGGACCAGAGGAACCAGTGATGTACCTGAGAGCACACAGCCAGCGATCCTGTTTCGAGCCACTAACAAAATTGCTAATCGGGTATACCTTTGTGTGACAGCCATTTTCCAGTGATTCAAAACAGAATGAATAAACCTAAAAATGGGTACTCAGGACATTGAGCCAAGCTGAATTTCATTCACTTCTGAAAGTGGTTGTGATAATGTGAAAGCCATGCTCAAAACTGGTGGGTAAGTAATGTGTTTATCTGTGTCAACCCATCTTTATGCTGTGCCTACCTGTTACCTTTTATGTACTTCCTGTGGAATGAAGCTCCAAATTTATTTTTATTTTTTTAAAGATTTTATTTATTTGACGGAGAGCACAAGCAGGCAGAGAGGCAGGCAGAGGGAGACGGAGAAGCAGACTCCCTGCTGAGCAGGGAGCCCAATGCGGGGCTCCACCCCAGGACCCTGGGATCATGACCTGAGCCGGAGGCAGACGCTCAACCAACTGAGCCACCCAGGCGTCCCTGAAGCCCCAAATTTAGGGGCAATTTGTATTGCAGTAAAAATAAGGATTTCTAGAATGTGCCCAATCCCTGTTCTAGCAATGATTACATATGTAAAGCTGGGTTTCCATTTCCTCATCTGTAAAAGGGAACATCAGCCACCTTCACCGCACTGCTGCAAAAATAAAATCAGATAACTGTGTCTGTCTGGCACAGAGCAGGCACTACTTCCCGCCGACCCAGGCATCCCCTTGCCTTATCTACATATGGGACCTAATCAATTCCACAACAGTCCACTGACCCTGCTCTTTGAAATCCAAGGAAAAATTTCCCTCTAAGCCTCTCAGAAAAATGAAAAAATAAAATACTTTTCATGATATTTACATAGGTAAATACTTTTTAATTTCCTCAGCCAGAACCAAGAGTTAAGAAGAATCTCATTAAAAAGAATTATAAAGGCATTTCTTTTTCAAGTTCCCCAAATAGCTTCTTCATCTTCATCTTCATCTTGGGGACTGGTTCCCACCACGCCTACAGTGATCGGGAGAACTCTGGATCCAGCCCTATTCACTGCATTCCTGATTCTCCCACTTTCCTGTCCCAGGCATTTGCTTGTGGTAAACACTCAATAAATGGTTCTAAGCTGAACCAAACAGAATGAGGTGAAGAATTCAACAAAGACATACTGAGCATCTACTATACCCTAGGCACTGTGTAAGAGCAGTTTCCCTCTCCTATTTAATTATCACAACAATCCAGAAAGGTAATCATTGCCCCCAGCTTATTCATGACAAAACAGGAACCCAGAGCATGCGGTGACTTGCCTGGAGTCCCAATGTCAGGAAGGGCAGGACAGGATGGAGCCCAGGTCTCAGAGTGTGTTATAACTGGGAGCCCCTCACTGGAAAAGCACCTTTGTTACGTTTTCTTTTCCAATGCACTCCCTGTGCACAACCAGAAGCCCCTAATTTTCAGCAAGTCATTTGATAACTCCAAACGAGGGGCCACAACCTTTTCTATACCTCTACTGGTAAACAAAGACAACATCATGTTTCCAACACACTAATCAGACCAAGGGGAAAAAAATCCCCATGACTTCAGTAATTTTCCATCCTCTGGAACAAAGACACATATACAGAAGATTCACCATAATAAATAAACATTGCTTTTAAATGATACCAATCTCTCTTTTAATATGCCTCCAACCCTAAAATCTAAGGTTTAATAACTTCCTTTCTTGTATATTGAATAGACACACAAACCTAAATAGATATACAAACTGTACATGCAACAACGGCCACCTACTTAGATTGGGCTCTCATATCGATACCGATTTTCCTTACAACCTGCACCCAATTTGACTGTAATCCTAGGCGTGCTGACCTGAAATAGTTGCTGGCCGCAGCAAGCACCACGCGGTGGCAGGAGAATTCCTGAATGTCCACACACAAGATGACATCGGTCAGAGCATTTTCCACACGGAGGGTGTCCAGGCCATTCTGCAGGATTAAGGAGAGTCCCGTGTCATCGAATTTTACCTTATCCCCATTTAAGATTTCTACCAGGTCTCCCTTTTTCTGGGAGGGCTCATCTGTAGAAGGTGCCAGGGGCCCTTCCAAACTCTTCTCTACCACGTCGCCCATGGTCCAGGTGCCCCTTTGTCCTGCCATCAACATCCAGACTGAAGGAGCGCCCAAGCTTCAGGCAGGTCACATTGCAGAAGTTGAGCGGATTTCCTGTGTAGAGTCCTCCACTTATCACCAGCTGTCACACACACACAACAGGAAGTCTCGTACTTTCTCATCCTGTTACTACAAACGCCAGTAACTTCTATTCTTCTTCTTTCTGTGAGTCAACAAAAGGTTAGAAATTACTTAGAAGGGGTGTGTAGAAAGGGGCTCCAGGAGAGAAGGGGTGGCTTCTCAGAGTCTGCTATTAGTACTGTGAGGTTATTTTGGTCCATCTCCCCCTCATATCCGTGAGCAGGAAGCCTCTGATTCTGGTTATTACATTTGTACCTCTGGTGCTTTTGTAACTGAGGTTGTAGATGGTAGGATGGGCAAGAAACATTCTATGATCTTCCCCCTCCCTCTTCTGAGGAGTCTGAGACCCCACGATAAGCCCCCACCCAGTCGCTTGGTAACTTTGGAAAACCCGCTTATGGCTGGCCTTCTCATTTATATCAGCACTGCGCATCTTCTGCCTTTGTCTTCCTCCGCTGCTCAGGGGGAAAAAATGTCATGGCAGATATTAATGTTCTCCCCGCCCCAAGAAAGTCTATTGTTTCAGATATGTCTCTGGGGACAGAGGAGAAATGGTCTCCAGAAACTCCATCCCCAGGGGCTTCTCTCTTAGTAGACTAATCAGGGTAGGTCAACACCAGATTACCCTAGCAAGTTTCAACTCAAATTGGCCTGATTTCACTCAGCATCTAGTGGTCATGTATCTAGTGGTACACCATGAAGTATCTTCATTACCTCTGCAGGTGTCTGTTAAATAATAATAACTATCTTTTCATAAACTCCCGCTATATTACAGATTAGAGAAGTTAACTTATTTTAATGTATTTTAATCCTTATAAGAATCCAATGGGGCAGATACGATTTTCCTCATTTTACAGAGAAGGAAACTGAAGCTCTGCTCAAGCAAGTGGCGGGACCCAGATCTGTTTGGCTCCAAAGCCCCTGTTTCCTCCACCCCCATCAGGCTATGAGAGCTGTAATATCATGTTGGTCCTGACTCCTGCATCTCCCACAGAGAGAACTGCAGGGCTTACCTGCCATGGCCACTCCAGTCTGCAGCGCCTCACCAAAGTGGCCTCTGCTGTCTTGCTCCTGCTCTCATGCACCATCTCGCAGTGGGGAGCACTCGCTGTCCTACTACTGATCAACAGGGAGTCCCCATTCTTTCTCTGCCCTGGTCAGTGGTGACTGAGCCCTCTCCAGGGGTCCCAGTTCTGCCTTAGCTCTTCTTCTCTTCCATGGATGCTTACTCCTAATGTCAGTGTCTATGTTATTTCCCCTCCACCAGACTCGTTCCGTATCCAGAGCTCTGTCAATCAAGACATTTTGGCTTCAAAAACAGAATAGCCCATCAAAAGTGGTTTAAGCAATAGAAGTCTCATATTATAAGAAGCCAGAGGTATGGAGTCCCAGGCTAATCCAGACACTCATCCTTCTGTGTCATCAAAGACACAGAATTTTTCCATTTTCCCATTCTATCATACTCTCCGTGTGATGGAGATGCCCCCTCATGATCACATAATAGCTGCCACAGTACCAACCAGTCCAAAAAAAGGAAGAAGGGCAGGCCTTTTCTCCTTCATCTCTTTTTACCAGAAAGAAGATATTTTCTAAAATCCCCATCAGACTTCTCCTAAGTCACTTGACCACCTCAGACCAAGCTCCAGGAAATACAAATGGAATAACATGATTGTCTTGCACAAAACATGATTCATCTGCTGGCTTGAGTCCACTTTCCCCAAGAACAAGGATCTGATAGCCAAACAAAATCAGGGCCTGTTAGCACAGAGGAGGGGCAAGGGCTGGTGCCATGGTTAGCCTCCTGAGCCCACCACAGGGAACATGCACAAAACTGACTCTTCCCACAGGCCTCGACTGGGAGGAGCTCAGCACTTACAGCTCCATGACTCTAACCGCCACATCTGGTAGAACTGAGGACAACACATGACCCAATCCCTCTCTCATGGCATCTTGTCACCCAGAACCTCTCAAAGTATAAACAACACTAACCATATTCAGCTCCACTCCATCCCCCCCATTAAAACAAAATAAGAATAAAACTCAATTCTCCATTCGCAATGGATCCTGTTCACCAAGTTCCCTTACTATTTTTCATATACCTCCAAGCCCACCTGCCCCATTCCCCTGACATGAGCAGATAATTGTTACCTTCCCCCCACCCCTACATCTTCCTAGTAAGTAGGGATGCATTCACAAACTTGTACCAAGGTGTGATAATGCCTACAATTAGATTTAGTGCAAAGGAAAAAAACACAACCAGTTTGGCATCCATGTCAACCTGGATATGCTCTGAGATTTAGCATGAACTGATAAATATTCTTTATAGCTACAAGCAAAATAACCAGTTCTGTGGAAGTTTTATTTTCCCTACCAAGCAACAAAATGTACAAGCCACTGGCAAAAGCTTTAATACTGAGAAAACTATCTAATTATATCTTACTAGACTAGTTAGCTTTATAATGCTTGAAAGGAATAGATTCTGTCCCCGTGCAAATGGGTAGCTTCACTAAAGGGAAATCTCTATTCCTAAAACCACAGGTTGCCCCTTCTGACCCCAGTCAATGTTTTCTCTATCACAACTTATAGTGATAGAAACAAGTCTTAAGTCAGCTACAAAGGAAGAGCCACTGGTCCCTCATGTTAACTTATTACTCCTAAAGCTATCATTTATTGAATATCAACTATGTTTCAAGAACTGTGAGAGGCACTTTATAAACTCTGATGCACTTAATCTTCCCATCAATCCAGTGCAGTTAAGTATTATGATCTCCATTTTAGAGACATGAAGACAGACAAGATCACATAATTGGTATCATGTCCATATCTCCTCAGTCCATCCTAGAGGTCACCCACAGACAGTTCCTATAAGCACACCAAAAGCATCACTCTGCCTGAGAGCATTGTCCAGCTATAAGAGCATGTCAACTCATCAGAAGTGCTCCCAAGAGTGACCTGTAACTGAGAGTCAGGAGTTAGTTGATAAAAACACTAGCTTCCTGTCTCTTGGTGGGACAATGCTGAAGCGTGTTCTACCCTATCAGAAGACTCTCAGAGGATTGAGCTGTAAGTGCCCACAGTACTAACCCATTCACCCTCTAAGGGAGGGAAGCCTCTGATGCCATTTGCTTATATTCCAGGGTAAGAAAGGAAAAGCCAAGATTGCCCCCCCACCCCACCCCGAGAGGATTTGTTTACCAGAATAAAGGTTTCTTTCCCCAGGGGAGGTAGAGAAGGAGGAAGATGAGGAGGAAACAGACCCATGTGCCAGCTGACCTATATAAGTTCTGAGTCTCATAATTTCAGCATTCATCTCTTATGATGCAACCCCATTGTACACTCAGGATAACATCAGGCTTTCTTCGCATTATCTATAGAGATAGGGATGCAGGGAACTGGTAAGAAGATGGTCTGTGCATAATAAATGATCTTTTTTCTGATTCAGAGACTTCGTATTTCCTGTCAGAAAAAAAAATTGAAACCTATACATATACATTTAACATGCAGTTCATTTATTTATTTATTTATTTAGGAGTGGGGAGGGGAGGGGCAGAGGGAAAGGAAGAGAGAGAATCTTAAACAGGCTCCACACTCAGCGCAGAGCCTGACATGGGGCTCCATTTCACAACCATAAGATCATGACCTGAGCCAAAATCAAAAGTTGGAAGCTTAGGGTGCCTGGGTGCCTCAGTCGGTTGAGCGTCTGACTCTTGGTTTTGGATCAAGTCATGATCTCGCCATGGTCAGATTAAGCCCCGAATGGGGCTCTGCGCTAAGTGTAGAATCTGCTGCAGATTCTCTCTCTCTCTCAAATAAATAAATAAAATCTTAAAAAAAAAAAGTTGGAAGCTTAACCGAATGAGCCACCCAGGTGCCCCAACATGCAGTTCATTTTAACTTAATTTCTCCAGGATGAGCAGCAATAGGTGTGGAAATGTAGAACCAGCAAAATGAACAAAGTGCTTCAGGGTCTAAATCCTACTGAAAGAGACCCAAGGCTTCATCTTTTCCTGCTGCCCGCAAAATTTATCCTTCAGGATAAATGTCCTTCCCGCCTTCACAAAGCTTCCCTAATATACCTACATTTATTGCAAGCCTTGCCTGTGTACACTGCACTCTGCTCATGCTCCTATGGATGCACTAAAGCACTGTCTTATCATTACCTGGCTATTCATCTGTCTCCCACAGTAGGCTGTGAGCTCAAGTCAAGCCATCTTACATCCCAGAACCTGGCACAAGCCCAGTTACATATGCTTCAGTCAAGAAATAAGGGGTAGATAGACGGATTTCATGGTGGGATGAAAGAATAATCAAAAACAGAAGAGTTCTGCCTTGGTAGCCAGTGGCTCTCTTAGGAGGACTTCCTGCATGGCCAAGGTAATGTGTGAATTTACCTGGGAGGAGAAGAAGAATTTATGAGAGAAAAGGGAGAGGGTAAAGGCTTTCCAAGAAAAAGGTGGAATGAACACACCAAAGGTGTAAAAGAACAAGGAGTATTTGGAGAACTACAAACCATTAGGTACAACTGGAAGACAAGGTGTGTGAGCTGGGTAGGGTTAGAAAATGGGGTACAATGGTAAGACACCAGGCCAGAGGGGCCACCTGCGCCCCTCTCCTGTGGGCGAGGCCGGGGTTCCTGAGACGCTGCACTGTGACCCCCATACCCGTGAACACGTCGATATGAGCAAGCAGTTCGGCGCATGCGGGCTGCAGGCTTGCAGCCTGGGCACCTCCTTCATGCCCGCCGCGCCCTGCCTGCTACCGTCTGGGGAGCTGTGGGCGGGTGCCGCTGGCCTGATGCTGCGCGCGGGCTCTGCTCAGCTCTCTGTGCATTTAACGCCCAAATAGCAACAGAAAATGGATAGCAACAGAAAATGGTACTGGAACAGCGGGAATCAGCAATTTTGTACAGGAAGCTTTGG